GTTGCTAGTTCAGTGGAGCAACCTTGGTAAATAATATTTAACATTTTGACAGTTCGGGCGAAGGTTTCAGAGGAAATTCGTATTAAAGAAAATTAAATTAAATAATTAAAGAAAACTAAACGAAATAAAAAATATAGAATACAAAAGGAAGAACTGAAATAAAAAAATAATATAAAGTAAAATTAAAATAAATAAAATAAAAATATGATGAATAAAATAAAAACTCTGATAAAATATAATAAGATACAATTATATAAAAACAAATTTTAGTAAAAAAAAATATTAGTTATCAAATAAAATAAAAATTTAATTAAAAAAAAATCAAAAGAATAATTAAAAAGAGAAAAAATAAACCAAATAAAAAAATTAAATTAAATTTAACACAAAATGCCAAAAATATATAAAACAGAAGAAAAAAAATTACTTTACCGAAATAAAATAGAATAAAAAGAAAAAAATTAATAAAAATTCGAAAAAAATAAAATGAAATGGAATGCAGAAATAAAAAATAAAATATAATATTAAATAAATTTGGGACATAAAAGAAATTTACACAGAATAAAGAAGCAAAAAATAAAACAAAAATTCAGAAAGAAATATAATAAAGTTAAATGAAATAAAATAGTAAAACAAAATTTTATTAAATAGAAGATAAACATTCAAATTAAAAAAAAAAAAACAAAAAATAAAAATTCAATAAATAATTAGGTACAAACAGAAAAAAATAATGAGGATGAAACAACAGTAGAAAATTAAAATAAAATAAATAGAAATGCATTAACATAAAGTGCAATAAAATGCATAAATTAAAATAAAATTGAAATTTATAAAAAATAAAATATAATAAAAACAAATATAAAATTTACTTCAACAAAATAGAAGAAAAAGAAAAAATATAAGAAAAAACCAGATAGCATAATATGAAATATAATAAAAAAAATCAAACAAAATTTTATTAAATTGAAAACAAAATTAAATAAAACAATAAACAATATAAAAAATAAATTTAAAATATAATATAATATGGAACAAAACAAAATAAAGTACAGCAAAATAAAATAATATACAATAAAATAAAATGCATTTAAAATAGTTAAAAATAAAATTAAAAAGAAAGATTTAAAAAAGGAAAATAAATTAAATTATAAAGCGAAAAATTATATATAAAAATAAAAATAAATAAAACGAAATAGGATATAGTGAAAAGGAATAAAATGCAAAAACTAGTATTACTTCCATTGTGATAAACTTTGTTTTAGTTAAGTAGATTGTTTAAGAATTAATACTTAGTTATCTCATCTAACTATATCTAGTCGCTAAAAATTTACGGAGTTATAAAATGTAATACAGTATATTTTGCTTAGCTGACCATCCTTCTTTGCACGGAAAACTTGTGCGCTTAACCGAAAAAAGCGAATTTTCTTTACTATTTCAATGAGGAAGGTATCCGAATCCCTAATGGGGTAGGTATCTTAATGTGCACTTAGGCATAAGGCAAGGCAGCAAAGCTACATAAATATACTGTATACAACCATAACTAATTTTATTGAAAAATATTTTCATTTTTGGGGTGTTTTATAAACCTTCCAGCCAAAGTAAATCTTAGTATTTTTCCGAAATATTTTTGCAGAGTCTTACGGCTTAGTTCATAAAAAATAAAATCGATTTAAAGAGTTCTATAAAGTGAAATTTTCTTAAAAAATGTCTATTCATAAAGCAGTCAAAGTCTTGTTTATTTTTTATGAATTTGGGTGTTAGAATATAATATCGACACCTAGTGGAAGATCGACCTATCTCGGGCAGTCAGTTCGAAAACTCCCTATCTCAAAAAACATTTCAAGAACTCCCTATTTCAGAATTTCATTGAAAAACATCCTGTCTCAGAATTGGGTTCAAAAATGCCCTATCTCAAATGAAAATGTATTGCAAATGTGCTGTGACAGGTCGTTTTTGAATCGGCAGCTGAGTTAGGGCGTTCTACGATCAAATTCTGAAATATTTCGGGCGTTCTTGAAAAGTTTTCTGATATATTGTATAAGTATATTTCGAACTGGCTGCCGAGATTTGACCGATATTCCACTTAGGTCTTCCGATCTTCCACTCAGGTGTCCATATACTTTATAATTTCGTTGTAAATATAGTACCAATATAAGAAGAGTGATGCATGTTGTTTTTAAACTTTTTCGATATAATTTTGTTTTTGATATTAATTGTTATTATATGTTTTTTTTTTTAAATTATGAATACGGACTTTTTTATTATTGCATCCATTTCATTTTGACTAAAATATTACCCACATTATTTACACTTCGCTCAAAAAAAAATATCTGTATATCACCAACAGTAAAACTGTCAATAAAGCGTCAACCCAAGTGCCTCACTCTTTGTCATTGTTCGACAGCCAGCTTTACAATTCTTTACTTGCAGAAATTATTTACCTTTCGAGTGTCGACTACTTGACTTGAACACCATATGGAACAACTATTCATTACAATAACAATAACAGTAACAACTACATATAAGTAAATGACTCATTGATTTGTTTACTATCGCTTACCACCGTTTAACTGCTATTGTTTACTATATTTGTTTAATTATTTACTTTATTGATTTGCTACACACGAGTGGTGCAACCATTGTTCATATTTTATCGTAGAAATATACTACAACATTTACAAAGCTTAAATTGGGAGGGTGAAGAAAAAGTTATATAATTACGGAATAGTTTTTAAAGTCAAAATTTATTTTATGCGAGCAAATAGAGTTACACACATACATACTTATTTCATATTTTTGTTTATAGTTTCTGAACCACCATGGCAACATATAAGTACATTAATACATAGAGCAAAGGAAAATACCACGAGTGGGCATCTAAATCCAAATAAGAGCACACAACCATCATGTGCATCTTGCTCTACCATCACAGTTCCTGCTTATTTTAAGAAACCTTAACTAAAGAAATAAAAGAAGGATAGGTAATTTCTACACTGAATGTGTTCATCGTTTCGTCTACTGGCCCCAGGGTGGAGAGTCTATACTCGGTTTGACTGTGGTAGCAAGATTTCATTGATAACACCAATACAATTCTAAACATCCGCCTGACCCTGAGGTACTAGAGTAATAATGTCCAAAGTTTTTTGTGGAGTCTATCTGGAACATTAAGAAAGGGTCCTGCGTAATTCGAATTTAAAAATGTTCAAAGTAGATGCATAAAGCGAGCGCTAACTATTATCTATGTAAAGTAATTGTAAATTAATTTTTTTCTAAGCCAATCCACCATAGCAACGGAATGTAAAATATTCGGCAAGTATGAAAATGCATATTCATAATCAACCGCATGATATCAGCTGCATAAGTTTATACAATAGTGGTATCCACCAAAGCGAGCAAGTGGCCTGGAAGTCTGGCAAAATGGCACTAATGTATCGATTGGAAAGCTGGAGACAGCTTTGAGTCTACCAGACATAATGTTAAACAAGTGACATACAAGAAGTTGCTGTAAAGTCATATCTCACAGTCCTATATGATTGCATAAAGCTATGGCGCAGAATATACTTAAATATTGTTACGACGCATAGTGTTCTGCTTTAGCACAAAAGAGACAAAATCAAATATTTCGATAACGAGATGAGATAGCGATATAATTGTAACGGTATTTTAAAGTTTTTGAGGTTAAAAATTCAGAATAAATAGTTTCGTTACATAGAAGAATCACTAAAGCCTTTAAAACGACCTTCAAACGTAGAAGGTTTTAAATTTGTTAATTTTTTTGTCCTGAAAACAGTCTGCAATGAGCTTTTCAAAGGTTTTAAACACGCATTTTTGCTCTTTTTGCGTCAAGGAATCCAAACGGAAAACGTATATTGTATCTTTTTTTTAATCCATTACAAGCTGTTCATAGGTCAAAAAGTCCAAAATTTTACTTTCGATTTTGAAAAAAATGTAATGCGGTTTTTGGTTTTTGAAACCATGGAAATAGGTTGCTTGACACTAAGACCGCAAAAATATGTATTTAAAACTTTTTTAAAACTACATTGCAGGCTAGTTTCACAAACAAAGAAAAAATTCTTAATCCTTCTATATTTGTGAAGCTATCAACGCATGAATTATTTTGGGAAATACCTAGACTTCTGGAAAATTTCCTGAATATTGCAAATACCAACTAACTCAATCATAGAAATATTATGACATTTAATTTCTGGTTTACCAACTGTGTCATTTTTATTTATGAAAAATTTCCATAACAAAGTTTTTGCAGCGGAAAGTCTATGAATTGATTACACTTATGAAAGGGTTGAAAGAAGAGAATTTTCAAAGGAAAGAAATTAAAATTTCCATACCAATTTTGGGGATAGGGTAAGGTGTACATAAAAATCGATAAGATTGATGACATACCCTGCAGGAAATATTTAATTATTACTACGTTTGCGCTCATACGAAACAAAGACAAATAAATAAATGAAAATAGACAGCAGAGCAAACGAAGTATATTTTTAGAAAAAAATTTTTATCTTAAATTGCAATGCCATTAAAGAAAAAAATGTATATAGGTATATAAATGCATTTCTTGTCTAAAAATGTTCGGTATTGACACTTTCGTTGAAGAAAGCAGTTTTTTTAATTGCAAAATCTCTATGCTAAACTCGATTCGACTAAACAAATTAAAATTGGTTTATTTGAAGTTTTATCGGTCTTTAAAAAATACATACTAAGGGCCATTTTCTGAAGCAATAACCATTAACTTTAAAGCTCACTTTATATTTAATGGTTGGATAACAAATAAAGCTATGTCTAAAGTTAAGCATTTCTATTATCGGTTTTTGACTTATGCATGTTTCTTAGGTGTAAACCAATTTAAAACCGATAACAAAAAGCTTTACTTTACATACAATCATACATTTTAATGCAACCTTTAAATATAAAGTGAGCTTTAAAGTTGCAGGTTACTTGAGAAAACGGTCATAAATATTATAAATAAAAATTTGAATTCGACTTACTGTTCCACGATTGATAGACCGCCTCGCAGAGGGCCATCACAATGTGCGGACTCGTCAACAGCGGACTCTGCATGGGCGTTTGTGTGGCCGATGTGGTCGTATTTGGCGATTGTGATGTCGATGAGGCGGCGCTGCCGCTGCCCGCACTGCCGTGACCGCCACTCGATGCAGAGTCATCGGCTCCCGCCTCGGGCATATAAAAGACAACAGCCATAATTTTATTTTGTGATTTAATATATGTTTTTATTTTACTTTTTGCCTTTTGCGGCTCAGAGTTTTTTGCTATTTGTTTGTTTTTGGCTTTGGCTGTCTTTTTAAAAATTGTTTTCGTTGCACTTTGAAGTTTTTTCGCGCTTTATCTTTTGTTGTGTCAAATGTTGTTGTTTTTTTGTGCTTGCTGTTATGCTGTTTGTGCGCGATGCGCACACACCTGCTGCACACACACACACACGTACTCACACGACGCTAAACGACGACGTTGCGCTGCGCAGCAATCAGAGTGGGTGGGTGGGTGTTGGAGATTAGCGCTGTTAAGGGTAGGCACGTATGATCTTGCACACGGGCAGGTTTGTGCGCGCAAAAGTGTCGTTATGGAAATATGTATGCTGACTGTTGTTGTTTTGTTTTAGTTTTTCGGTAATGCGGGATTGTTTTTATGTACGTACCTTTCACCTTTTCAAATTCTTATGTAAAATTTTCATCAACTTTCGCGCTTCATGGCAAGTTGTTTGTTACATTTGCGTGCAGTTGTGAAATAATGTCACGTTTTTAATTTTGAATTCAAAAAGTTGTTTCTTAGTAGCTGAAGAATGCAAATGGAAGAAAATACATATTGAATATACATACATAAGTATTTTAAAAAATTTCGAAATTTTCGATAATAAGGTTTTAGATAAAAATTTAGTTTTTTCGCAAACCTTTCAAAATATTTGGGAGTAACTATTTTGCAAATTTTAGATTGTTAGTAGTTTAGTTTTGTGCAAAAAAAAAACCTTCGATTTTATATTTTAGTGCGTTTTAGCGTTTTTGTAACTTTCGTTGCTTTATATATTTTTTTTATAATTTACATATGAAAAAATTAAGTCATAAAAATGTGATACAAATAAAATTTAGAATTTTTTACCTTCAACCACCACTCAGGTTTTAAAAATTTTATTTGACAATATAAGAAAAATATGAAAATTTTCAAAATTTTTTAAAATTCTGATTTTAAAGACTAAAATTATATGTAGCTTTTGTAATAAAATTTAAAAAAAAATTGCGGTATTTCTCAAAAGATCCACATGAATATTAATTAACAATTTTGTGTTTAGAAAAAATTAAGTTATGCAATTAAAATTTATTATGGCAATTAATATTTCACAAAAAATAAAAAAATACCCAAAACTAGGGCCAACATTTTAATTTACTTTGCATTAAGATTCTTTTTTTTCAGTTTTGCTTAGAAAAAAATTAAGTTATTCAATTAAAATTTATTTTGGCAATTAATATCTCGTAAAAAAATAAAAAAAATTTTACCCAAAACTAGGGCGAACAGTTTTATTTACTTAGGTTTAAGATTATTTTTTTAGTTTTCCACTTTTTGCCTTTTTAAATTTAAACAAATTGTAACAAAATTCTTCGAGTTTTGGATTTTTAAATTTTAAAGAATTTTATTAAAACAAGTTTTTGTATAGCTATCATCGCTATTGCTGCATAGTTTAAACATTCATATTATCAATATTGTTATTCTTTAATTAAAAAAATAATAATTTTTAAAATTAAGTTTTTTAACTTCAAGGATTTTAGACAACTTTTTTGACCAAAAATTTTATTTTTGTTTAAAAATTTTTTAATTCGAAATTTTTTTAACATAATTTTAACGAATTTTATAAAAACAAACTTTCATAAAAAATAAAATTTAATTTTGGAATCAATGTGACTATAATTTTAAAAAACTTTTCTCCATATTTATTTATTTTTTATTCCGCTGAAAACAACAATGCGCAAACTCAAAAAGTTAACATAAAAAACTTAAAGTACTTTCCGCTTGTTTTTGATGTGCAAACTAACACTTTAGCGGGGTTTGTTTTTGTTGAAAGCAGTAATGTCATACAAGCATTTAATTTTTTTTTTACTTTTACTAAATGAATTACCAACTGAGGACTCACAACACTTTTAACATTTGTTCCGAAATTTTTTCAAATCTAAACTCGAAAAATTTGTTTTTTTCTTACACTTACGTTTTGTTTTGTTTTGGTTACAATTTATTTTTTTCGAAAAATACAATTCGAAACAATTTTTCACCAATCTTCCTATTTATGCACTCGGATTTTTTTTTATATAATTAACTAGAAGCACTTAAAACGTCTTTAAATGGTTTTGTGTTTATTCTTTGTTGTTATTGTTGTGTTCTTAATTTTTTGGCACTGTTCAACTTTTACAAGTCCGCGAACTTTACGCATACAAAACACACCCATACACGCGCGCACGTACGTATGCACTTTATGGTTGCTTGTTTGTTCGTTGCGAAGTTGTTGTTGTTATGTTGGCGCTTTGGCGTACAGCACAGTGTTCACAATAAAAGTGTTAAAGTGTTAACCACCAACCAACAAACACGTCTTACTCGCTTCGTTGTTCCCAATCAACTGTGCCTGCCGTTGCAGTCGGCGCGCGGTGTAGGTTCTGCCACCTCCTCTTGAATTGTCGGGGGCTGCGACAGCGGCGACGGTGACGGTGACAGCAACAGCAGCAGTTCCGATGACTACTACCGATACACGGACAACGAGGCAATGCAGAATCAACGTCAGCGTCAGTAGCCGTCACTCACACCGACGCACGCATAGTCAGAACGCTTAAAAACACCAGCCAGTAGTCAGTCAAAAGCAAGCAGGCAGGCAGGCAGCCAGTGAACCAGCTCGGCAACGTCAACGAAAACAACAAAAGCAATAAGAGCACCAATGAGCGAGCGCACGACAGGGCAGAGTCAGTGAAACAACAACAACTATTTGCAAGTGGCTAGAAGTGGAGACACCAGCGGCTGCAGCAAGAGTCAGAGCTACAGTCCCAGTCACAGAACAGCAATAGCGCAATCATAATGCAGAGAGTATCAACGTCAACAATCAGCAGGGAGCTGAGCTCACAACAACAATGCATGTCGATTTGAATAAAAAAGTTAAAAAAAAGGAAACACAAACAAACAAAAAACGAATATGAATAAAGAAGTAGAAGAAAATATGGAAAAAACGTAGAGCAGAAAAAAAAAAATTGAAAATCAAAGAGTCAGTGGCAGAACTGCAGTTGCATGCAACGAGCATATGAAGTGGGAGCGCGAAGCAGATCCAGCAGCAGCGGCAGCAACAACGGCGACAATTAGAAACAAGAACAGCAGCTCAGCTCACTAAAGCGCACATACATATGTACAAATGTAAATGCATATGCATAATATGCATATGTATTTTTTCATTTGTATGTATATACATACATATACATATCCAACTGAGATACATACACCTACGAACAGGTAGGCAGTTAGCGCGTAATCAATACGCATACAAACGCATGTAAAAAGAAAATATACATACCCTGCAGGAAATGTATCCTAACTATAAGCTAAATTTAAGTTGATTGGGAAGGAGCTAAAAGTCACTGATATCTGTATATTTTCTTTGACAAAAGCTAGCTATGTTTCTATGGCGATGGCCGCGAAATAGTAAGGGCGGTTTACCTCTGCATTAGATGTAGTCAAGGGTGGTAACCTCTGCATTTGATGTAACTAAAATATCAATACGAAAAACTAAATATTTTTATTTATTTATTTATTTTATTACATTCATATTAGTTTACATATTCTGCTGTAGGTGGTCCCATATTCGAACTCCGTCAGACATAACTTCAAACTGATAATATTAAATTTCGATCTTCCTTTCATTTGTCCTCAATTCAAAATAGTATTTGCGAAGTGCCTGATATTTAAATAGAAACGAGTTTAAAGAAAACAATCTGCTGCATTACTCCTGCATTACTTGTCAACTAGTTTCAAGTTGGGTTTTTGTAGCTAACTATAAGTTATGCATTTTATAGAAATCCCGCAAAGAGGCTTACTACAAGTGGGTTATTTTTCATCAATTTATATCTTTTTTTTCTGTAGGGTATACATATGAATGCAAGTACACGTGTTTGGATACGTATGTATGTGTATGTGAGTAGGTGAGTCGATAGGCTGCAGCAGCTGAGCAAACTGCAACAACAAATAAAACTAAATTAATTCAGGTACTCACATACACAACCCTTACTTGTATATATGTATGGCTGTATGTATTAATGTTGACTTGCTGCGGCACCAGCTAGTAGAGGAACCACTCAACAGCTATCAAGCAAAAGACCTGCTAAATATCTATGGCATACAGGGATTACTGCGAAGAATCGCAGCTAATCCCAGTAGACAGAAGAGGATGCAAGACCTTGCGCTCTTACATTTTCATATGTATGTATGGCGCACTCTTTTAATTTAAATAAGTAGCTTACGCTCAGATGATCACAAAGATTCTGAGTTGAATAAAAAAGAGAAGGCGCAAAGGTTAAGGAAGCGGTGAGGTGTTCTTATGAGAATTTTGCTAGAGCGTCTTATAATAGGTGAGAAGTTAAGAGAAACACCAGTTAAGTTGAGTTTATACATATATGTGTAGGTTATCTCAAAAGGTGTTTGAAAGAATGGTACTCTGTGGCGATCAGCTGGAAAGGGTGTAGCGATTGATATAAGAATTTCACAATAACTTTTTGGTGTTCAAAGGGAATACTTTTTAGCTGGGCAGACTTAAGAACTGTTAGGACCTCAAGCGACATAAAAAATCGCACAGCAGATTTTTCGACCCTCTATCAACATAATACGTGGCATGCATTAATTCAATTTACAGATACTATGTATTTTGTAAAATTTTTGAGTCTTTGCTTCAAGAATGAACCAGCTCTGAAAAAATACTGTTTCGGGGTCGTCGGGTTTTACTTTTCGGGATATTTTTGAAAAAATTAAAATTTTTCGGGTTTTTCTTGAATTTTAGAGATGTTTCAGGAATTTTTTTCTTTCTGTAATTTTGGGAATCGTAGTGTTTCTCTTTTTAGGATTTTCGACGAGCTTTTAGCAGTTTTTTACATTTTATCGTGACTTAACCGCATTCTTCGTTTTTTACATATTTTTCCGAATATTTTTGGATTTTTTCTGTGATGTTTTTACGTTTTTTGGTAATTTCTCCGGAGAAATTTGCCGGTGTCTTCTAGAATATTTGAGAAGTATGTGGATTCTTCATGTTTAACATATTTTTAGGGATATTTTGAGATTTTTCAGATTTTTTTTCCAACATTTTTCCGATCTTCTAAAACTTTTTTCGGGGATATTTTTCGAGATCTTACCGGATTTTCCGGACTTATCCAATTGCCTATCTCCTTTCTGCAATTTGTTAGAAGTCTAAATCAGGATTTTGAAACCTTGATTGTGGAGCACCTCATAGTTTCTCCTGCAATGAGTCATATGCAACTTTTTAAAAGTCTTAGAAAATTATCCTCGTAAGCTATCGACCTTTCCGTAACTTGTGGTCACAGAAAACAAAAGGAGAATTTAATACTGGAGCGGGATACTAACACTGTTTACATATATGTTCGAAGATCTTGCAATATTGGTCTTTTTACTTTCTTATGTACTTAGTACCAGGTTGACCGAGCTTTGCCCGGAGTGCATATACTTTTTAAAGTTTTCAAGATTTGGATAGCTTTAAAAAAATATTTTGGAAATAAATAAATAAAAAAGGATTTCCATATCTATTAAGTAAATTCCTTACTCTAAATTTTAGGTGGCAATCCTATTCCGAAATACGCTGGAATGAATGGTACACACCTTGAGAGTATTTGTACTAAGTATGAATACATAAAAAATGTTGATTGAGATTAACAAAATAAAAGTTTGTATTACAAGAAAGCGGAGCAACTCTAATGGAAAATATTTTCTGATATTCATATTGCGATGTTTTAGATAAATTGTGCAGAATCGAAAATAAGTGGCAACCTTACACTATTGTCCTAAGACATAACATTTTCTGTATAGGGAAAGCATTGTTTAAGAATCTTCTCTTGGTACCCATGAATAGTAATATTTTACCTTTTTTTTAAAAAAAAAAGTAAATAAATATGCGATTCAAAATATTTTTAATTAGGGATCATTCAAATACCTTCCATTTGATACCTATATTATGATGTTTTAATTAATTTGTAACAAATTTCAAATATGTGGCAACCTTATACGAGTCTTCTCGGAGATATTGCCTATTCAGATAACCTTAAAATTCAAAACATTATTTGTGTACCCAATTTCATCAAAATCGTTAGAGCCGTTTCCGAGAACCCTGTGGATATACATATATGTATATGTATATAAAAGAATTGCTCGTTTAATGTAATAAGATAGAATTGACTTAGTTCAAGAACAGCCGTGCAAATTATGAAATAATAACAAACAAACGCTTTATACTTTTCATGTTTTATCGAGTTTCATTGTGATTGACTAGACAGTTGAAGGAAGGAAACAGTTTGGACTTCACCAGGAATATGCAAAGTCCTGCTGAATATACATATGTACATATGTACATACATATGCAAGTATGAGGCACATAAAAGTGAGAACACAACAAAAGAAATATTCATATGTATGTGTGGGAGAAGAACGTCAACGAAAACAAAAGCAAAGCAAATAATTAAAATAAATCTTAAGGCCCACGAAAAGTCAAACCAACAACAAAGTAGTATGCAAAGATATTGCATTGGACTCCATGAAGTTCAAGAAATCACAAAATTAAAGAAATGGCAATAGCTAGAGGCAAACAACTGGAGAGGAAATTATTTTGATATCCATATGTATTTACATACTTATACACCTACATATGAAGAAAGAGAAACTAATTCTATTCAGTCGTCGTTTGGTTGCAGAGGGAGCCTAGAAACAAAAGTGGTATAAAGCAAGCAAGCAAGTCGGCCTGTGGCGAATGCCGAAGCAAAACAAAACAGAGAAGTGAGCGCTATGCCTACTGCTGCTGATTTTTATTTTAATTTTTTCATTTTCTGCTTCTGATTGCTTTTTTATAAATTTTTTTTTTGCCTTTCAGGTTCACTTCTCTTTGGTGTTGTGTTTGTTTTTAATTTATTTTTATTTTTTTACTCTCCTCCGTTTTGTTTTGCTACCAGCGCTTGCTTGCGTAGAGGAATCTCAGCGGCTGACCGACTAGTAGCTGCTGCCTTTAAATAATTTGTGAGCAAAGAATTGTATGGCATAAGTAGGTGCCAAGGTATCTATGTACAAATATAAAAATACTTACTTAAACAAAAAAATCTGCTTACAGAGTAAAAACTCATAAAAATAAAAGAGATTTATGTACAAATAAGTTTTTAAGAGAGCGAATAAAGTAAGAGATTGTTTGGTAGACAATTAGTTTTTAAAGGCAATGCGATTGCTGTGATTTGGGGACAAAAATGGCGGGAAGCAACTCTGCGTTGCATATGGAGAAGCAGATACCAATTTACATATGTACGTACGTATGGACATGCATACATAAATATATATGTGGAATCTATATTGTAGATATATTTTTA